CCCCCCCCCCCCCCCCCCCCCCCCCCCCCCCCCCGACTCGTCTGCTTGAGAAATTTCAGATACATACCAATCGGAGTCGTTTATTAAAAATTTGCCACCGAGTCGAGAAATCACGTAAGCTTCCCATTCCGTACACCGTGCTGTTTGATGTTAGAGCTGAGAGAAATCAGCTTGATGAGGATGTTAAGGGAAGATCATTGCAGGCTACGAGGGTTATAGAGAGGATTGAGAGTGCTAGAACGCCTGAGAGTCAGGTATGTATAGTAATAAAGCAGAATCGAATCGCTCCAAACACCAGAATCTACCTAGCAAAACCAAATACGTGTAAGTTATCCCATCCAACCGCTCCATAATCAAGCATGCCATCTCCAGACTCACTTCCCATCCATCTATAAATCCAACCGCTCACTCAGTCCTCCCAATCCTCTGAAGCTTCGCCCTCGATCCTCCCCCTCCCCCTCGAACTCCTCAATAAACTCTCCCGCTTATCAAGCGGTTCAGGAACTCCAGCCACCGTATCCAGAATATAAACCTTCCCATCCCTAGGATTCAAATGTTGCACATAAGGCGGCGAGCTACGACCACGAAAAGGATCGGGTTGCTCAATCCATTCAGGTTTGTCGTCGCTGGTGGACATGGAGTGCTCGCGGCGACCGTCAAAAGAACTTGAAGTCGGAGGCGGAGCAGTGTGGGAAGTTTTGGTTGTGAGGTTGGAGATTTGGGATTGAAGGGCTTGGATTTGAGATTTCAGGTGGTGGATTTCAGAGGCAGGTGTGGTCTGAGGTGTCAATGCCTTCTTGATCCAGTCGTCGTGGTTCCAAGAGCTTTCGGTTTTTGCAGAATGATTTTGGGTCGTCCAGTCGCCTTTTCCACGAGTAGAAGTCGAGGCTGAGTCTACGCTCCAGGTACGAGTGCGATCTAGCTCCTTGGCTTCTGCGCGTCGTCCTTTCGCACTGTCAGTCGTACTGCTTGCTTTTTGACTGGCAGGACTTTGAATTGGTGTTATTTGTCCGGTAGAAGATCCTCTTTGGACGCCGACATGCGGGCGGGCGAGGATGAGGTGGTGGGCTTTGCGGATGTTTGGTGCATGATCTTTCTCCGACGACTCGATGATTCCAATGCCGACCTCAGAGCTCGCATGACTGCTTGGAGGCACAGCGGGACCAGGTGCCGCTATCTCGCTCGATGAGTCGGACGTAGTACGTCTGTGCAAGAACGTCCGTCGATCAATAGGTGTTTCGATCGATGCCTTGAAGACTTGCAACGGAGGGGAAGGGTGATTCTCCGCATCTCCCCCAACCTTATGATCTGCCTCTGCTGACTCTGGACTGGAGATCTCGGGTTCGTGACTGGAGGGCACACTCCCAGGTGCTGCTTCCTCTCTGCCTCGTGGCACATGCGACCAGTCCTGATGAGTTTCGATGACCCCAGGACTCTGCTTATGAGCAGAGTGATCGTCAGGGTGGAGCTTCGCGTGCTCAATCTCAAATGCCCGACTACCAACCTCCCGTTGAACAATCGCTCGGCTTCTGCGCAAAGCTCTAGAAACATTTCGTGCTTCTTTTGCATTCCCAGGTCCACCAGCACCGATGCCGAATGAATGGATACTGAGCAGCGCTAGATGGACATATCGAAGGACATCATAGTCGATCACCCGAACTTCTCTAGCACAGAGCGGTAGCGTGAGGCCAATCGTATCAATGCCGGGAAGTTCAAGCGGTATGGCATTGATATATATTCCAAGTTCCCGAGCATCTGGTGTCCTATGTCCCAGTTGTACTGTTCTGTGTATATCTGGTGGCGAATCGAGGCTTTTACCCATGAGCTTGTCAAACTTCCGACTGAAGACTTCAGGATCCATGATGCCGCACTGGCTTTCAAGTCTCGGACCTTGAAGCATATGAGGCGCGTGCTGCAGCACGTGAGGATGTGGACGAAGATCAGTAGGAGTGTGAGAGCCAGCTAGCGTTGTTGCTCCCGAGGAGCCTGGTGAGTGATTAGATGCAGGTGGAACTTCCAGGTACTTCGACTCGGGTTGTGCATTCGTGAATTGTTGCCGACTTGATGCCTGTGGATGGTCCGAGGCTTCTGCTGACGACGAGCGACTAGCAAAGCGGACTCTGAATACAGGACTCCCGAGGGTCAACGGCGAAACGTCACCATCGCGCTCCCTTTTCTGTTTTGGCATGTTTGAGGGAGACGTCACAGCCAGCACAGTTGTCAACACTTCTTTGCTTTCTGTCCACATCGTAGAGTCAACTTGCTTGGTAAAAATTCTGTGTGGTTCATCGGCGTGTTCTGGAGACTTTGGGATCGATCCAAGCAGTATGTGAGAATGCTGCACGGCGATCTTGAGGTCCTTCACTAGAGCCGATTCCACCGCGTCCGCGAGGGCAGACTGCTGCAGCCTTTGCGCGGCTTGTTGAAAAAATGTAGCAAATTGCTCCATCTTTTGAATGGCTGTCAAGAAGTCAAGTGTGGTGTTCTGGTCCGGCAGAGGTATGAATCGTGGAGATGCAGTCATCGCAATGCTATACGCATAATCATGAAGGCGCTTGCACAGGTGATTCATATGCTTGTAGCATGGCAGAGCAACCATCGCCATGCCTTTGCAGAATCCTTCTCGAATGAAAATTGACAGGTCGTTGAGCTGCTCGGCTATTTCTCGCGGGCTCCTAGTATCCATTGAGCAGGTTTGATCGCCACTCCCAGGTAACTGAATGCCTAAGCCCGCCATTGATCAGAAAGGATTTTAGCTCCGGATTTGAAAGTGTCCCAGGACGAATGAATAGTCTGAGGAAGGTCAGATCCCACCGACTTGAAGGTATCCCCGAAGTGTTTAAGGAATCCCTTCGTTGACAGAGTGCGGTTGCTGTTGCACGGAATGAAATTTCCTTCCGAGAGGTAGAATTGCCAGCAGTCAGTGGAGAATAGTTGCAAAGGACTGCGGGCGAGGGAGCTGTTGGCCGTTCTGTTGAGAGCAGAGGCAGTGCCTGCAAGGAATAGAATCGCAGTTATCTTCATGTTGTGCAGCAGTGCATATAGTTTGCGTGAGTTGGTGAAGAAGCTGGCTTTGAAATAGGAGGCTTCACACTATAACGCGTGATCCATCATAGTCATTACCTGTACACGTGCATGGCAAGCAATCAAGCAATTATACTATTCGTAGCAGGGCATGATGAAGTCTGGCAACAAGTGACCGGGGAGCATGGACATGCGGCAGCGTCATACCTCAATACAGATATGGCACAAACTTATATGGCGTCCTCTTCTCGTATTCGCGGTATTTCTCGCCATACTAGAAGGCGAACATTAGCATTGGGTCAGCCACGATGTCCGATAGACGTACCTTATACTCCATGTATCGCTGCAGCTCTGGTATACTGCTTTGCGTGAATCGAAAAGCAGATAGTGCTGCGATCGTGGCACCCCAAACGAATCCACCAGCAGCGATTGCATAGCCTGCACGCCATACCGTGTATCCAAAATAATTGATATGCCTGGGCAAACTCCATAGTCCACCCATGTACACCTGGCCTTTATTCTCTTCCTTCTTCTTCCAATGATGGCGTTGCTGCTCCGACAGCCATTCAATGATGATACCAGCGCCGTACAGCTGTTTGCGGGAAATGCTCGCCATTTGCGCTCGCCGATGTTTGAGCACAGACGAAGAAGAGTGTATTGAGCGTATCCGCAACGAAGTTGTAAAGTCCCACTTTTAGACCGAAGCTCGGAAGCATGCGCTCCCGGTTGATGGCTATCACCCAGTAATTTTGCTTAAGCATCGAGCTCACTGACATGGCGAGTATTATTGTTCGATATGGCGACAGACCGAGTCGATCGAGGGGCGTTCGCGTGATGAGAGGCGGTCCTTGGGGCAACGTCGTGCCTCTCAGCCTCTCGATGAGACTTTTGCCCTAGTCATTCTTAAGGAATTGGTATTGTATAAATGGATCGACTAGACGCAAGCCGATGAATGCGAGTGTTCCTAAGCGGTCGAACTTCTTGATGCCTCGTTGTATGGGCCCATTCTCTGGCTTTTTCCCATCGCCCGCCATGTTTCTAACAATGGTGAAAAGGAAAATATAGCTGACTGAATGGTTGTTCAGCGCAATACCTGCTGAGTATCATGCCGGTTGTCCGCCTCGGCAGTGACATCGTCTTGAACGTCGATCCTCGCGCTTAGTCTTGCTTCGTCCTACCTGACGTCTCGGCATTATTGAACATTCATGGAGTGGATATGCAGAATCCTCGGACGGGGCGGTCTCGCTGCGAAGAAGTAGTCATGGCCATGAATATCTGCTGGATTGAGGTCTCGAGATGGGCGGCATGGTTGGGGCCAAACATGTAGTCTAGCCAACGATGAAATTCAGGAACTCGAAAGGTCAACGGACAGTTCGATACAGGTTGAAGAAGAAAACCCGGAGTCGTTCTGGCTACAATGAGAAGATGAAAAAATGCCATCCACGCAGACGAGCAGACGAGTACCTATTGCAATTGCAAGCATTTCCGCGCCTGACACCGTATCCGCGACCTCCTCCTCTTGGCTCCCAGGATCTCCCTCCATACAAACCCCATAGACCAGAGCTTCCCCTGCAAAAGCCCAAACGTACTCAGCGGCCAAAGGTATAATAAAGGCAACTTATTAGATGCCACCGCGGAGCTCCTCACGATCACCAGACACCTACGGGCAAGATTAGAACGAACTCGCACACTCGACTTCATCACCACCATGGCGATCCGTCTTCGCGACAAGATTATCCCATTCATCCCTTTCCTCACCCTCGTGGTTCTAGCAGTTGCTGGGGCGGTGTATACGGTTTATTACAAATAGTAGTGGGATGCGGTATTCTGGAAGACGTTTTCGATCATATACATACAACATCTTCTTTCGATTTTACTAGCCTCGCACGTCCAGTACTCCAGCACACCAATTCAAACCACTCTTTGCGGAACTCCAGAATTCTCAGATGAACATGAAAGGAATACGGCCGGTGCCGACCAGACTGTAACCTTGAACATCAATACCAAGCCCGAGAACGAAGATCCTTCCTTCGTACGAGACTGTGACCGTTGAGCTTGATAAGTCATATCCGCTGGGAGTGAAAGCAAGTGGAATCTCTTTTGGCGAAGGCGCCCTGGAAATGGGCTTCGGAATGAAAAATGTCAAATGTCCAGGCTTTTAGCGACAAGGATGGCGCGCATGCTCTTGGTAACGAGTTCAAAGCGGGCATACCTTTGGTTCTTAGCGGAGATGGGAAGGGGCCGGTTATGGTTGGTAGTGTGCTCTGTCGAAATGATGTCTGATACCTTTTTGGTATATCTGCCTTCGTTTTGATTCCACAACGAACTTGTCCCGCTACTCCGGAGTCGTTTGCTTGAAGTAATCACAACTTGCGTTGCATTTGGTACCCTGGGTGTTATAGCCGCCAGTTCAAACGCTGCTGCGACATCTGTCCCTGCTGCAGCCGATGCCACAACATCTCCTATCTAGCCGGTCCCCATCGCTCGTCGATGCTCCAGCAATAGCGCTTAGTACCTTTGCATTCGCGACTAGATGTCAATGCCCAGCTTCTCCTTCACCCAATCAGCCTCCGCCTCGGTCGGGAACACGACGCCGTTCTGGTGCTCGTCTGTGGCAGCGAATCTGATCCTTACAGATTGCACCAGGGAGCAGATGCCGCGCACATATTCGCGTATCCAGCCTACACGGAAGCCCTCAGGGTTCCAGACGAAGCGGAAGCTGCGATGGTTTGAGCAGCCACCAGTGCGGTTGCAGTCACACTCCACCAACAACTCCAGTTCGGAGATTGGGATATTGGTCAAAAACATCTTGTCGCAGCTGAGAGGCTGGTCGTGAGCGAACAAGATTTGGTTCGCCTTCTCGTTGAATACCAGAATCTCTCCTCCAATCACGCGAGCAGCAAAGCTCCCCCAGACATCAGTGCTCTGCTTGCGCAGCACCAACTCATTGAATCTGGCGCTGCGGGCGAAGCTGTCATCTGGATAGCGGCTTGTCAGGTCGGTGACTGGCACGATGTCCTTGATGTAGGAACCTAACAACTCTCTACTGAGAAGACGGGTCCTATACTGATCCACCCAGGCGAACTTTGCGTCGGTGGGCTCAGGGTAGATCATGCGCTGTAGTATTGAAGATCCATCAATTGTATTCTTGCAATTCTTCGAAACGAGTTGGAGATGAATGAGGTCGCGTGGCGAGACGTCGATCAGGATGTGTTCCAGCAGCTCGGTGATGCCAAAGACACGCGTGGCGGCATTTGGTGAGGTCGCCATTCTTCTAGAAATGATCAATCAGTATGGTGAAGATGATATGGACATTTTGGTTGCCTTACTGACTGCGGCCGCAGAATGTCGGCGGGTCAAATTGTAGTGAGTTGTGCAAAGTTGTTGGAGGAGATTGATCCCGCAGCTAGCCAAGTTTGACCGTTTCTGGCGAGCGCCGTTTGAGTGAAAGTTGCGGGTGCAGCTGTCTCACTTTCGTACTTGCAATTTGTAAGGTTTAAAGATAGTCAAATTCAGAGCTCATCATCGCTCAGTATCTAAAAGAGGTTTCTCAGCTCAGTGGCTAGAGCGGATGGCATCTATCACCTCAGCGTCTCTACCATCTAAGAGATGGTAGGGAGTTAGGTGCCCATCAGACCTGGGTTCGAC